ACTCAATGGCACAACCATAAAGGCGTATAAATAATCAATAATAACAAATTATTAATAATAATAATAATTGTTGTTATGGTTAATGTAAATAACCAATTTATTTGGTAAGTGATTATTTTTCGGTGATTTTTCTTTTTTGTATGGAAATTTATGAAATTTCTCGGGTTAAGATGTGGATGAATTTAATATAAATAAATACTTGAGTTTTTAATCATTAAGTTGTTTTTTTTTGAATATAGAGATCAAAGGGTGAAAAACAGAATGAGAAATTTTGTGTTGATTTTTTTTTCTGTTGTTTTTTCTGGACATTTGAGCAGCTGAATAAATATCCCCGGAAGTTTTTGGTAATTTGTGAACAAAATAAACTTTCAAAAGAGTCAGTGAACTCAATAATAAACATACCAATGCAAAACGGGTGTCGTTTAATGGCACGGTGAAAGCGATTGACCGGGAAATATTTTTTATTATCTTTTTTTTTTTCGAGAATCAATTCCGAACGGCCAATCTCATTAACAACGGCGTGAAAGTTGATTTATCCGTTTCGAAAAAAATTTTATGCAACAACGGAAGACTTTCAATTGTTCCCAATTCTTTAATTCTATATTTTTGCGGAATAAAAACGTGAAGATATCAGAAAATTTCTGATTTTCAACTTTTGGCTTTCACTTTTCATTAATTAATACTTTTCAAGTACTTTTATTTGTAGTTAATTTTATTACGTTTGTCAAAAAAAAGGCAATTGTTTAGAATTATCGTATTAGTTTTGATAAAACTTAATTGTTAATTTAATTAAATGAGTCACCCATTGACGAAAAATTGATTTGACATAATGCAATTGTTCAGTTCCGAAATAAAAATAATAAAAAAATAAAATAATGTTCTGTATCATAAATAATTTTGATGAATATAAAAACTGCGAGGTTCGTCTTCACCTTGCAAACTCAATTTTATTCCCAAAGCTCAGCATGATCTCCCCTAGCCCGGGAGTTTTTCGATTTTTCGAGTTGAAAGAGAATTTTTTGGATGAAAACAAGATTTTCACATCGAATTGAGCTTTCAGGGTAATTCTGAGCTTGCGGGGTGGAAGAGAAACGTGAGCGCCGCCATCTTGTGGCGAGTGACATAAAAAATGGCGCACCCCCACCTCACATATTCAAACAATTATTAAAATTACATTTGCCCCTGAAATCACCATCAAATAATTCCATCCTGTTCCTCAGAAATGAACAATTTTTTAGAGTCATTCCCCAAATATTTCCGCAATATTTCAGCTATGTGAAGTTGGCATCGAAGTTTGAAAAATCTAACTTTTTTTTGTTGGTTTGGATTGTACTCATTGAGTACTTGAATGTAC